ACACACACACACACACACACACACACACACACACACACACACACACACACACACACACACACACACACACACACACACACTATTATTGGTTGATTTCGGCTCATCACACATTGTACTGGTTTTATTCTGAAAGGGTAACATGAGAGTTCTCTTTCTTTCCTTCCAGGAAGTTGTCACTGATGACAGAGCTCTGTACAACATCCACTACCAGATGAGATAGAAACTCAAAGATTACAATACAAGAAGAGGACACAACAATAGAATTAAAACAGAAACATATATGAACAATAGTTATTAAGTGTAGAATAAATTAAACTGACACAATTGCAAAATAGAACACAATGCTGATGTGTAGGAACGATCAGACTACTTTAAGAGTAAATAAATAGAGTTCACAAAGATAAAGATGTACACGTGTATAAGAAGTGACACTAACACCAGTAACTAACATATAACAGGAACATTGAGAGAGCTATTATTAACGATATTGATAAAGTATTACAAGTTATATTTCAGATAGATTAATGAAAATAATATTGCACATGAAATTGAAATGTAATTCTGCACAATGTTGAAAGATGTAATATTTCACATGATGTGGTTATTATTATTATATGAAGTATCTGATGACTAATGATTGTTTCTCTCTCTGTAGAGAAGATTTGGCAAATTTTTCATTGGCGCAACCCACATACTCAGCTGTGCTGCTCATCCCACAAATGCATGATCCTTACAAATGTATCACCATTTGAAAGGTAAATAAACAGGCTTTCCAACGGTATAACATTTATTGCCAAGAAGCATTGTTACAACAGAGAAATAAGCTACCAAACACAAATTTCTGAAATCTTTGTTCGATGTTTATGTGGAGGAAAAGTCGAATCTATGTTAGTAGGTCACCCCAAAAAACAAGGATTTCTTCTGTACATGCTGATGTCAGCATGAGAGTGTCCTGATCGATCCTCCATCACCAGCTCTACCAGACCTCTACCTCCGGCTCCACAGCCAGAGACCATGGATCAATAACACCGATACACGGCCTTGCATTCTGATGAAAACATCCACATTTATGGAGGTTTAAAAACATCCAGCGGTGCAGAATGCAGCTCTGCTGTCACAGGACAGAGACAGGAGATCATTCTGCCCACTGCAACAAGACTCTATAATAGATCACCTCTGGTTAAATCATTCACAACTACAACACTACTTTCATTTAATATTATTCCATTTCATTGTATATATATTGTGCATTTTTATCCTCAATAGTTTTGTATTTTTTACTCTGTTACTTGGATTGCTTACCTGTATCATAATGCTGCTGTAGCGAACACATTTCCCCTTGTGGGATTAATTAAGTATCTACCCATCCATCCATCTACCTACCCACCCACCCACCCATCTATCTATCCACCCACCCTACCTACCTACCCATCCATCCACCCACCCAACCTACCTACCTACCCATCCACCCACCCAACCTACCTACCTACCAATCCACCAACCTACCTACCTACGTACCTACCTACCCACCCATCCACCAACCTACCTACCTACGTACCCATCCACCAACCTACCTACCCATCTACCTACCCATCCACCAACCTACCTACTGATCTACCTACCAACCTACCTACCTACCAACCTACCTACCGATCTACCTACCAACCTACCTACCAACCTACCTACCCATCCACCAGCCCACCTACCTACCCATCCACCAACCCACCTACCTACCCATCCACCCACCCACCTACCCACCCACCAACCTACCAACCAACCTACCTACCAACCAACCTACCAACCTACCCATCCACCAACCTACCTACCTACCTACGTACCCATTCACCAACCTACCTACCTACCTACGTACCCATCCACCAACCTACCTACCTACCTACCTACCTACCTACCTACCTACCCATCCACCTACCTACCCATCCACCTACCTACCTACCCATCCACCAACCTACCTACCCATCCACCAACCTACCTATCTACCTACCTACCCATCCACCTACCTACCTACCTACCTACCCATCCACCAACCTACCTACCTACCCATCCACCAACCTACCTACCTATCTACCTACCTACCCATCCACCTACCTACCTACCTACCCATCCACCAACCTACCTACCTACCTACCTACCTACCCACCCACCTACCTACCCATCCACCTACCTACCTACCCATCCACCAACCTACCTACCCATCCACCAACCTACCTACCCATCCACCAACCTACCTATCTACCTACCTACCCATCCACCTACCTACCTACCTACCTACCCATCCACCAACCTACCTACCTACCCATCCACCAACCTACCTACCTATCTACCTACCTACCCATCCACCTACCTACCTACCTACCCATCCACCAACCTACCTACCTACCTACCTACCTACCTACCCATCCACCAACCTACCTACCCATCCACCTACCTACCTACCTACCTACCCATCCACCCACCTACCTATCTACCTACCCATCCACCAACCTACCTACCTACCCATCCACCTACCTACCTACTTACCCATCCATCCATCTACCTATGTGACAGCAGCTTTGCTCATGTTAACACGTTACATCCGGTGCAGAAGCGTTACATTTAAACAGTAACATAATCTAATGACACGTGATAAACGCAGCTAGCTAACGCGGATGTGACTTTATTACGTTATTGACTCTTAACACCGACAGCTAGCTGACCTCACCCCCGCGAGGACAACAATGGGCGCATCCAGATGCTAACTGACAGCTGTGTCGTTAGCTAGCTTTAGCTCCCTTGTGTGTGTGTGTGCTAGCTAGCTAGCCGGTCCGCTCACCGCTATCACGTTGACGAAGGTGGTCTTCCCGGAGTACTGCAGCCCCACCAGCGTGAGCTCCATCTCCTCCTTCCAGAACAGCGCCTTGAACCAGTCCAGCAGTTTGTTGATGAGCGCTATCATCTCTTTGTTGTTTTTTTGTCGTCGGATGCTAACGCTAGCTTGCAGGCTCCTGCTAACGGATATTAGGTGACTATGCTAAGCTAGCTAGCTGGCTAACGCCCCGACAGTCCTGTGTTTTTTTTTTTTTGGTGGACGCTGACAGCCGCTATGACAATCACGGTGACGGTTACAGCTTAACGGACGACAAAGAAAACAGTTAATATGTCGGTGTTTTCTGGCCCTAATGTCCGCGGTTTGTGTTTTATTCTGTCTGTGATGTTTACTAGCGACGCCTTTTCCTACCAGCTTCCGTCAAGTTAGATATTATACAGCTCTGACCCATCCGGTACAGACCTTCAAAATAAAACAGTTAGTTGCTACTAACTTAATAATTATGTATATTACTAACGTAATGCTAGTTACATTGCTCTCAACGTACACAATGGATATACAAATAAACAAGAACAATATAAACACAAGGGCATTAAAGACAACAAAGTACAACAGAGAAACTAAGCATAAACATTTAACTACTATGTACAATATAAATATAAATATATGTCGAAGAATATAAAACATAAAGAACAACAATGACAACGGATTTTGGATAATAGTGCAAATGGAAGTGCAGTATGTCTGAATAATTGTTCATGAGAGCAATTCATAAACAATAATAAAGAATAATAAACACTGAGGTAGTCAAATAAAGGTTGACATACATGTTACCAACTTCACACTCAAAACATGCTCCAAATCTCTCATTTAGTTAGCTGTGGATGTCATATGTAGGAAGAAAAAACATGTTTATTATAAGTTACTTTTACTTAATTTTCCGTCTTAAAATGTAAAAATCTGTAATGAATATAATTGGATGAACTCTAGAATGTCTGAGGAACACTTTTAAGAGGAATCTGATGTAAAGTTAAAGTTTTCTTCTTTCTTCTTTCTGGGTTATAATATTTGATCTGAGTGTAAACTTTTGCACGTTCTCTGATCAATGTTCTGCACAGAACTGTACAGCTCCTTCATGTTAAAACATACAATGTATTTTATTTAATATCTCTAATGTGAATGTGTCTCTTCTATATTGGATACATCTCAAGTCTCTTAATTGCATCCTCGTTTCCCTCACTTGCGTCCTTTCCTTGTGTCTTAGTCCCTCCCACCAGGGATGCATGGAGGAAACCATGCGAGGAGAGAGGAACGAGGAAATATGTTTTAGGAGTCATGAGACGTCCTTTCCTCAGCTGTGTCACGTGAAGCGACGTCTGTTTCTGATGACGGTGCTGATGATCACAGCTGATCAGCTGTCAGTCGGCTTTAACAGCTGGAGAGACTTTAGATAAGTTAGTGTCTGTTCACATGATCACTGTACTTAATAACAGTAACTAATAACACTAATAACTAATAAAGACACACAGTAATCACCACTGTACTTAATAACAGTAACTAATAACACTAATAACTAATAAAGACACACAGTAATCACCACTGTACTTAATAACAGTAACTAATAATACTAATAACTAATAAAGACACAGTAATCACCACTGTACTTAATAACA